TGCCAAATTCTGAAAAATACCCAAGGCCCATGTTTTTTTCCAAAAAATGACTCCAAAATCACCCCAAATTTTTATTACATTTTCTGATACATATTAATGTCCTTAAGCTGTGTAAAAAGTTTGAGCTGATTCCGACTTCAATTTTTAGAGTTACGGCCATTTTTAAAAAGCACCAAATTTCTGGAAAGTACCCAAGGCTATAGCCCATGGTTCTTTCCAAAAAATGGCTCCAAAATCACCTCAAATTTTTATTACATTTTCTGATACATATTGATGTCCTTAAGCTGTGTAAAACGTTTGAGCTGATTCCGACTTCAATTTTTCAAGTTACAGCCATTTTAAGAAAATGCCAAAATTCTGAAAAATACCCAAGGCTCATGGTTTTTTCCAAAAAATGACTCCAAAATCATCCCAAATTTTTATTACATTTTCTGATACATATTGATATCCTTATGCTGTGTAGCAAGTTTGAGCTGATTCCGACTTCAATTTTTTAAGTTACGGCAATTTTAAGAAAATGCCAAAAATTCTGAAAAATACCCAAGGCTCATGGTTTTTTCCAAAAAATGGCTCCAAAATCATCCCAAATTTTTATTACATTTTCTGATACATATTGATGTCCTTATGCTGTGTAGCAAGTTTGAGCTGATTCCGACTTCAATTTTTGGATTTATGGCCACAGACCATAGACTGATAGTACTAATAATTAATAATTAATGATAGGGGCTTACCCATCAGTCCCTTGATGTACATCTCTACCAGTTAATGAAAACATGTGAGGTATACTAGGACCACATAAATCAATATCCAATATACCAACCTAGCAACACACAAACAAAATAAATAATATAAAAACAGTCTCTCACTTTCTTTCCTTCTTCAACTAAGTCCCAGTGCTATTTGACGTGTTACTGTACTCTTACCAACTCCTCCTTTACCAGAGAGGACTAATATCACGTGATCCACTCTTGATAGATTGTTTTGTTCCCTTTCTGCAATAATATAAAGTTTTGAAAATTTATCAAAACTTACCATCAGATTCCGCCATTTTTATTTTTAAACATTACTCAATTGTAACCACGCCCATTGTCTAGATCCGTTTAATTAGGTTTACGGTCGTTGCTATAGCGACTCCATCCCAACAATAAACAGTAAAATGGCTTCCAACCCAGAATCAGTTTTGGACAAATCCCGCGAGCTCTCGGCTCTTCTTACCAGGTAAACAGGAGACAGAGTGAAAGTACTTTATATATTCGATAGGTTGGAAGAGAATCTCACCAAATCTCAGGATAAGAATGACGCTTTGCTTGAAGCAATAGAAACTGCAGAGACTAGAGCATTAGATATGTCTGCCTCAGCCTCAGAGCTGAGCCTATTGAGGAACTTACGGGCAAGACTAGCAGCCAGTCACGCACCTAATGCTGAGCTGAAGAATGATCTACCAATACTTATCAGTGAGTCATAAAATTGCAGATTTGTTAGGATAAAAATTAATGATGTTTAGCTGGTCATTTGCAGGAAAATTTTGGTGCATTGCTAAAAAATAATAAACAGCAGGTTTTAATTTGTGTCCATGTGTCATTGAGAATGTGCATAATGGCTTTAAATGATTGATTTTATTTTGGCAAATGGCTATCAAAACATCAAATTTGCCAAAACTTTCATTCTCTCAAAATTACAAGCTAAATGAGAATTGCCAAAGCTGCTTATGAAATAAAACTTTCTTTATGCATGTACTTTCCTCTCCTTCTATCTCCTCCTCTCTTTCTCTCTCTCTAGAATCTTTTAAGGAGAAATTCCAAAGTCTTGACCTAGCATTAAAGCAGTACAAAGAACTAACCATTAAGCTACAGCAAGATGATAAAGATATGAAGGAGCAGCAAGACAAGCTGAACAAGGAGAGGGAAATCTTTAATGAAGAGAGGGAGAAATGGCAGAGACACATTGAGCAGGCCAGGAATGATATATCGGAACAAAATGACAGATTGACATTTTTATCTCAGCAACTGACAGGAACAAAGGTAGATAGATTTACGATACTTTATAGCGGGAAATTTTAGAGGGAATCAAATTTGGCAAATTGGCGTTTTGATAGTCATTTGTCAAAATTAAAATCCGCCATTTTGAGCCATTATACGCATCCTCAATGGCACATGGCCAAAAATGTGTGAAATTAAAATTTGCCAGTCAACCAAAATTCAGCAATTCGC